CCCTCCCTCTTCCTCGCCGCCCTCGAAAAGAGAGGCTGCCGTTGGCGGCGTCACATTGCCCCGCGCTTCTCCGCCCGCCCCCTTCCCCCTGGCTGGGGGCTCCGGGGGGTCCAATGCTCCATGTGCACGCCCGGAGGGTTTTGCGCCCTGCCCTCACCTCTCTCTCATTTACGTCAGACTCCGGGCAGTCTGAGCCTGGCGCTCTCTCGCGCTCCCTCTCCAGACGCACACAAGGCTGTGGGGCCGCCGCCGCCGCCGCCGCTTGCTCCCGCCTCCCCGGCTTCTGCCCGCCAAAGGCAAAGCAAAGCGGGACGGACGCGGGTCCAGCTGGTCAGCCAGCCAAGCGCGCGACGGGGCAGAGAAGGGCGAGCAGCGGCGGGCAGAACGAAGCAGCACCCATGAGAAGCACCTTTCAGCCCTGAGCTCGAGTAAGAAGACTCTTTATGTCTCTCCGTCCCTGTGTGTGTCTTTCTCTCTTTGCGTACGTGTGTGTGTGGGGTGGGGGGGCTTGGAAGGGGCTGGTTTTGGCGCGGCGGCTCTCGCCTTTGCCACCTGTACCTGCCCTCCCTTTGCCAGCGGAGCTGTTCCACCGCCGGGACGTCTGCTGTTCAAGGGGGAGAGCTGGGGAAGAGGAGAAGGGGAAACTTTGGTTCCAGCACCTCGGACAGCAGCTCCCCCGATCTTCTAGCCAGACCCGCTGCAGCGAAGCGCAGAGCGTTACCCAAACTCTTATGGGTTTGTGCTCCTCCTCTTATTCCGTCCCATCCCGTGCCTGATTTTCCCTTTCTTTTGGGATTAGACGCCTTCCTGTAGGATATCTCCCTTTATGCTCTCCGTGCCCTTTCATCCTCCTTATTACTCGGTGCTTTTCTTTCACTTTAGGATTGTTTCCAGAAAATTGAACTTTGCCTTGTCTTTTTTTTTAACGTCCTTTTCTTTCTTGTTCTTTTTTTCTTCTCTCCTTCTCTCAGGTGGCATCCCCGGCTCTGGCAGACATGAATGAAAACGTCACCTTGAATGAAACCAGGGCTCCTCTGCCCTGGATTCAAACCAACAATGGCAACTCTTCTCTGGAGCTTTCCTCAAAGCTCCCCATCTTTGTCATTAACCCTTGGGATATTATGCTCTGCATTTCTGGGACCATCATTGCCTGCGAAAATGCCATAGTGGTGGCCATTATATTCTACACGCCCAACCTGAGAACCCCAATGTTTGTGCTGATTGGGAGCTTGGCCACAGCAGACCTACTGGCTGGAGTTGGCCTGATCCTTAATTTCATTTTTCAGTACGTGATCCAGTCAGAAACAGTCAGCCTTATTACAGTTGGCTTCCTAGTTGCCTCTTTCACTGCATCTGTGAGTAGCTTATTAGCCATTACAGTTGATCGGTACCTTTCCTTATACAATGCACTTACATACTACTCAGAGAAGACTGTTTTCTGTATACACATGATGCTGATCATTACATGGGGGGTTTCCCTCTGCTTAGGACTGCTGCCTGTCCTAGGATGGAATTGTCTGGAAGATTACTCATCGTGCAGTATTGTCAAACCTTTGACCAAAAGCAATGTGACTTTGCTGTCTGCCTCCTTCTTTTTCATCTTTATCCTCATGCTCCACCTGTACATCAAAATCTGCAAAATCATTTGCAGGCATGCACACCAGATAGCACTTCAGCAGCATTTTCTGACTGCATCTCACTATGTTGCAACCAAAAAGGGAGTCTCTACACTTGCTATAATCCTTGGGACTTTTGGAGCCAGTTGGTTACCTTTTGCCATCTACTGTGTAGTCGGAGATTCCCACTACCCTGCTGTGTACACTTATGCCACACTTCTACCTGCTACCTACAATTCCATGATCAATCCTATAATTTATGCCTACAGAAACCAAGAAATTCAGCGGTCCATGTGGGTTCTCTTTTGTGGTTGCTTTCAAGCTAAAGTGCCCTTTCGTTCAAGATCCCCTAGTGATGTCTAAGTGACTTATTTCTCTGTGTAATTTTGCACAAAGTGACAATCTTCAACTTTCATTGAATTACAGTGCCTGGTATGAACCAGATCCGTTTTGTGAAGTTGTTTTTTTGGGGGAGGGGGGAAATGTTTAAACAGTAGCACTTTATGTATGTGTATTCTTGAGAATGTGAAAGGTCTGGAGCTTTTGGTTGTGTGAAACCTAATAATAACAAAAACAAAACCCAATGTGGTTGTATGCAAGGTCGTGCATTGCATTTGTAAAGTGGAGGCATTCCAAGACTACGTAATTATTGCACTTTATTTTTAGCTGCTGAGCTGCCAAAACAGTGTTGCCATTTTTTAAAGGGCAGAAAGGGGAGTGAAAGGAAGTGAAATGTTGTCTGGTTATTTTGAGATGTGAGTAATAATATATTTTGCTGCACAGTATTGATAAATTATGACATTTTGTACAAAAATAAAACAATTCCATTACATATTTTTATTTTGTGTCCTCATCTACTTCAATAGCTTTTAAGAAGTTGATAAACCTTTCATACTGTCTCATGTTTATTTACCTAAAAATATTCATTGGATATATTTGGCTCAATGAAGTTTGTTTACTTATGGAGAGGAACCATGTCATAAAACAAGTGCATATAGTATACCATTTGGTTTGTTTTCCTTTTGTTCAATTGTAAGTTCCACATAAATGCAAATAGTTTAAGGAGTCATCATTAAATACTATAAACCCACAGTTCGCAAAAGGCCTCAGCATCAGTTTTAGATGAAAATACAAAGTAAAACATTTCAACTGAGAAAACATTTCATCCATATATCAAAGAAAGCTGAGTCTTTATCAAATGTTGATTGCAAAGCACTGGGGATTTTCTTACTTGAGTCTCACTGAAGTTAAAATCTTAGTCATTTCAGAGGAATCAGCATAAGAAAAAAAATCACATTTCCCTGATTGTCTTTATTTATGGTTTAGCCCATAAACTTAAAATCTCCTCTGTGGCACACTCCTACATTTGTAGATCCTAAGTGGCTCTTTTTCTTTCTTTTTCTTTTTGACTGACTGATTCTTCAGATCAAGAAAGAGCTTGCTGGTTGCATATTAGGCCCCATAGTGGTATAACCAATTTGTTTAGAGAAATGATTTTTGCCATGAGCATCAAGTGAGTATAACATCTCAGGTTGGAGGGACTTGCATAAAAATCAATAAACATACATTGATACTGCAGCCTAACTTGGAGATTCACAATGTCCCTGGACAATTTATTATTAATTAGAAAGCATATGACAGTTCATCACTTCTGCTTTCTAGTTGAATATTGCAACATTCTAATACTTCTCTAATATATTTTAAAGAAAGTACATGGTTTGTATTTTTAAAATTTATTTTTAACAACTAGGGATAAAGCAAGAAGTACAAAAAGTAGAGGGGGATATGGGGGGAAAAGAGGGGGAAGGAGAACACAAAATGTACTGTCATCCAATCTGTTCATGTTGCAATATCAAGTTGTATTTTTTTAAGCCAAAAATTATTTTAATGTAGTCTGCCTTCTAAAATAAGTAATCGGGGCTAAACTGACATATTATATTCAGTTAAAGCACAGCTTCTTGTGCATAGACTGCTTGCCATTTGAACTGCACTTTTGATGCAAGAGGGGAGGATAACTGGATTCAATAACTAGCTTGTGTATAGGCATCTGTAAAATTTGGAAGCATGATAATCAGAAATTCAAACAATGTCAATCATACATTGAGGTATGGGGGAAAGGGACAAGGGAAATATGCTAGCTACCTCTTCCTTATCTATGTATTGCTGAACAAATGAACAAAAATGTCACACTGCCAGCACTGATAGTTTACTTAATGTGGAAGGGGACATTCTGAGAGAGCCCTGTCATACTGATTCTTCTTCATACTGAACTGGAGGAGTATTGTGACTATAGCTGAGTGCTGATGCTGTGCTTGCCATCCTTATTCGTTGCAGCCACACTACACCATTTGGTAACAAAAGCTGCAAGGACAAAATGACTGCAGGATATGGTAATGTACAAATCCAAACAGGGAAATGAAGGACCATTTCACATACATGTCCAATGGCTTCTGGATGAATTGGGGGGAGGGGTAAAGCTGCATAGCAGCATGTGAACATAATTGTCTGCAACACTCCTAGGTGTTTTCTTTGTGTGTGTGTGCGTGCGTGTGTCCACGCACGCACACACGCACACACGCATGGAGTCTTAGCATCATACTGAATGACATTTAGAAGCCTACAACCAGACACAGAATTTGGAATTTGAGAGTGCTGATGAAGAATACAAGAGGCATCCAATAGAAAATTATGTGTTGTAAAAGACATTTTTAAAATGTGTCAGAGGAACCCAGAGGAGCAAATACAGCACTGAAGAATGTATTGGGCATTTTCTGGCCTCATCCTCCTTATCATCAGACATGCTTTGTCAAGAAAGGCATCCCCATAGTCTAGAAGGATGTCTTTCATCTTAGAACCATTGACAATGCCTTTCTCCCTATAGAAAAGGGGGAAAAGCCACCTGGTCCTTGCAGAAATTCTGGATGAATTGGGGGGAGAGGTAAAGCTGCATAGCAGCATGTGAACATAATTGTCTGCAACACACCTAGGTGTTGTCTTTGTGTGTGTGTGTGTGTGCGCGTGTGTGCATGTGTGTGTGTGTGTG